GCTCACAGTGTAGCATGACCGTTGCCCCTTCCTTGGCCTCTTCCTTCTTCAGGTCCTTTGTGAACTTGGCAGGCAGGGCTGGGGAGGGTCAGACAGACATAGAACATCAGAGTCTCAGGAGAACTTTAGAGACAAGACTGGACATGACAGAGGAAAAGACCGAGACCAACAGGAAAACAGGACAACAGGACAGAACCAGCAGTGATACACTGGGAGGGAAGTAGCTCAGAAGCTGGTTTCTCATGGTTCATACAACAGCCAGGAAGGTGGGAGGAAATCCATGGAGCTAAGAGAAGAGGGTGATACTGAGATGAGTAGGGAAGGTGGGATGAATGCAGTGGGATACCATAAAATCAATAATTGGACACCAAAACACAACTCTGCTTGGCCACACGTGGTCTTTACCCATGATGGTCAGCATGGCTGAAGTTCTCTCCTGCCCACAGATGCATGAATATTCCCCAGCATCCGCCATGGTCAGGGCATGGATCTCCAGCTCACATACGACTCTGTCCTGCCTCATGTTGACTCTGTCCCCAGATTTGAGGATCTCTGGCCCCTTCCTCCACTCAACAGGGGCCTCCTTGCTCAGCTCACAGTGTAGCATGACCATTGCCCCTTCTTTGGCCTCTTCCTTCTTCAGTCCCTTTATGAACTTGACAGGTAGGGCTGGAGAGGGTCAGACAGGCATAGAACATGAGAGTCTCAGGAGAATTTTGGAGACAGGACATGACATGACAGAGGAAAAGACAGAGAACAACAGCCAAAGGGACAGAATGAGCAGTGACACGCTGGGTGGGAAGTAGCTCAGACACTGGTTTCTCCTGGTTCACACAGCAGCACAGAAAGGCAGAAGGAATTCCATGGAGTTATAACAATGGGGTGACACTGAAATGAGGAGGGAAGGTGGGACGAGTGCAGGAATATGCCATCAAGTCAATAATTGGACACCAAACACAGCTCTGCTTGGCCACATGTTGTCTTTACCCCTGACGGTCAGCATGGCCGTGGTTCTCTCCTGCCCACACATGCACGAATATTCCCCAGCATCTGCCACAGTCACGCCATGGATCTCCAGCTCACATACGACTCCGTCCTGCCTCATGTTGACTCTGTCCCTAGATTGGAGGATCTCTGGCCCCTTCCTCCACTCCACGGGGGCCTCCTTGCTTAGCTCACAGCGCAGCATGATTGTTGCTCCTTCCTTGGCCTCTTCCTTCTTCAGTCCCTTTGTGAACTTGATGGGCAGGGCTGGGAAGGATGGAGAGAGATGAGCATGATCATACTCCCTGAGCACACAGATGAGGCAGGACGTGGACACCACAGAGAAGACACAAAGCCCAAATGGACAGGGGCCACATGCTGGCTGTGCCAGGCAACACTGAGGACTATGGCTTTCCTCAGCCTTCCCTGCTTAAGTTGTGGTTGTGGCCCCTTCCCTGGACCCCTCAGGCCTCATGTTTCGTGTGCATCTGGTGGGCAGGGCTGGAGCCTGTTGGAAGGTGTGGAGAACATCAGATTCTCCAGAGATCATTGTGGGACACAACAGGACAGGTCAGAGGAAAGGACACAGACTCTGACGGGACAACAGGACAGAACCAGCAGTGACATGCTGCGTGGGAAGCAGCTCAGATGCTGGTCTGTCCAGGTTCACACAACAGCCCAGGAAGGTGGAAGGAATTCCATGGAGCTCTGGGAAGCGGCTGACACTGAAGTGAGGAGGGAAGGTGGGATGAGTACAGAGAGATGCCATCAAGTCAATAATTGGACACCAACAGAGCTCTGCGCGGCCACATGTGGTCTTTACCCTTGATGGTGAGCGTGGCCGAGGTTCTCTCCTGCCCACACACGCACGAGTACTCCCCAGCATCTGCCATGGTCAGGCCACAGATCTGCAGTTCACAGAGGACCCCGTCCTGCCTCATGCTCACTCTGTCTTCAGATTTGAGGGTCTCAGGCCCCTTCTTCCACTCCACGGGGGCTTCCTTGCTCAGCTCACAACACAGCATCACTGTGGCCCCTTCTGTGGCCTCTTCCTTCCTCAGGTCCTTTATGAACTTGGCAGGCAGGGCTGGGGAGGGTCAGCAGACATAGAACATCAGAGTCTTAGGAGAACTTCGGAGACAGGACATGACATGACAGAGGAAAAGACACAAACAGGACAACAGGACAGAAGCAGCAGTGACACACTGAGGGGGAAGTAGATCAGATGCTGGTTTCTCATGTTTCACAGAACAACCTAGAAAGGTGGAAGGAATTCCATGAAGCTAAGAGAAGAGGATGATACTCAGATGAGGAAGGAAGTTTGTATGAATGCAGTGGAATACCATCAAGTCGAAAATTGGACACCAAAACAGAACTTTGCTTGGCCACACATGTTCTTTACCCTTGACGGTGAGCGTGGCTGAGGTTCTCTCCTGCCCACACACGCACGAGTACTCCCCAGCATCCGCCATGGTCAGTCCACGGATCTCCAGCTCACACATGGCCCCGTCCTGCCTCAGGCTCACTCTGCCCCCAGCTCTGAGGGTCTCCGGCCCCTTCCTCCACTCCACGGGGGCCTCCTTGCTCAGCTTACAGTGCAGTGTGGCTGTGGCCCCTTCTGTGGCCTCCTTGGTCTTCAGATCTTCCGTGAACCGAGCAGGCAGGGCTGCGGAGAATTAGTTGTACAGAAGCCATCAATCTTCTGTAGGATTTGGGGGTATGACCTGCACATTCAGGATGGGAACAGAAGCAGGAAGGGTGGAGGATGTGGGAAGCAGCAGATCATTGCATGCTTGACAGTGAGACCTTCCTGCACCTTGCTGACAGTGGTGCAGAGCAGCAGGGGACTGGCTCCATCCAGTTCTCTCAGCTTCTCAGTGGACATCTGTCCTGCTTCTATCTTTTCATACAGACTAAGCCCTAACCTCACCTGCACCTAGAGTCCAAGCCACGTCCTTCCAGCTCACAGCCCACACGTGCAACCATGCATTTGACATCTGTCTTGGGAGAACCCCTGAGAGGCACCTTCTAGACATGACACCCAGCGCCCCACTGACACCCCTCACTTGTGCTCCCCATCCAAGGTAGGGTGTCAGTCCAGCACTGCCCACCCCTGGACCCACTGCATGCCTTCCCTCCCCATAACAGGCCCCACCTCCTCCACCTCACACATTCCCTTTTTGACCCCACTGGACTTCCATTCTCCAGGCTCAGATCTTCTAGACCCCATTGGAACCCCTGGCCTTCCACCCTGCCATCTGTCCTCTCCTCCCTCCCAACTCCAGGCAGAGTGTGAGCTTCACAAGTTCCAGACGACCAGGGCCCACCCTGGTTATGGGATGAATCCCTGTTGTGGGATGAATCGTGTCCTTCAAAATTCGTATGTTGGAGCCACATCCCCAGGGCACAGAATAAAGATGTATTGGAAATGTGGTCTTTAAAGAGGTGATTAAGGTAAAATGAGGTCACTGGGGTGCGACCTAACCCAACATGACTGGTGTCCTTATAAGCAGAGAAGTTTGGGGCACAGATACACACAGAAGAATGACCGTGATGACACAGGGAGAAGATAGCCATCTACATGCCTAGAATAGAGGTCTTGGGAGAAACCAGCCCTGCCTACACCTTGATCTCAGACTTCCAGCTTCCAGAACTGGTAGGAAAAATTTTTCTAATGTTTAAGTCACTGTTACGTTGTTAAACCATTCAGATTTTGATCCCAGGAGTGGGTCGCTACTGTAACAAATACACTATTATGGAAATGGCTTTGGAACTGGGTGATGGGTGGAAGCTGGAAGAGTTCTAAGGTGCAATGTTAAATAAATGTAGATTACCTTGAAGAGATTACTGGTAGAAATACGGATGCCAAAGGTGCTTATGGTGAGGCCTCAGATGGAAATGAGAAATGTGTTATTGGAAACTGGAAGAAAGGCAATTCTTTTATAAAGTGGTGAAGAATTTGGCTGAATTGCATCCCAGAGTTCTGTGGAAGGTAGAACTTACAAGCGAACTTGATTATTTAGCTAAGGGGATTCCTAAGCCAAACACTGAAGGCACAGACTGATCCCTCCATGCTGCTTATGATAAAATGTGAGGGGAAAAAAAGAGCCATGTCAAAGAAGGAAGTATTTAAGCAAAGGGAACCCAAAAGTTGAAGATTTAGAAATTTTTCAGCCCACTGAAATTGCAAAAAAGAAAAATGAGAAAGCCTCTTCTGGAGAGAATGCCAACGGTGTGCCTGAAAAATCATTTGGTAAAGAGATTATGAGTGTGACTCCTGGAGCCAATTAGCCATCTCAACAAAGCCAGCAGTAGAGATGGAATTATTCAGGAAGGATGTGTGGAATGTGCTCTGCTCTGATGGCTTGGAATCCTGCGAACTGTACGGAAGACCAACAAGGCTTTTGAGAATTTTATGCCAGCAGAAAGACTGTTAGCCATGAGTCAGGCACAGAAGGCACAAAGTGATGGAAGCTTTCAGACGCTGCGGTTTCTACAGCATGGCCCAGTAGAGCCATCCAGCTGGGAACAAGTGTTACCCTTCAAAGTTGGGAAGAATAACCCCAATGGCAATTCGGAGGTCAGCAGGGCTGCCACTGCATCCATGGTCCCAGAGGGTCAGGCCACCTTTGCCCAGGGCCAAGGAGGTGAGGTCACCACTCTGGACCAGGAGACAGAGCACTGAGCCAGGGGACCATCCTCCAGCTAAAATCGAACAGAACTTGTCCTACGAAGTGTTGGATTTCCATGGGACCAGTGGCCTCTTTCTTCTTTCCTGTTTCCTCTCTTTTGGAATGTGAATTATCTATGCCATGCCTGTCTCACTGATGTATTTTGGAAAAGTGCATAACTCATCTGATTTTATAGTTTTACAGCTGGAGAGAAGTCTTGCCTCAGGATGAACCTTACCTCCCATCTCACCCACATTCGATTAGGTGAGACCTTGGGCTTAGCCTGACACTGGAATGGGTTCAGACTTTTGGGTGTGGGGGATGGGGTAAATGTACTCTGCAAATGAAAAGGACATGTATTTTGGGGGGCAAGAGGACAGAATAGTGTGGACTGACTCACATCTCCCTGCAAATACATATGTTAAGTTTGAACCCCCAAGAACTCAGAATGCGAACTTATTTGGAGATAAGGTCTTTTAGAGGTAATTGAGGTCAAATGAGGTCACTGGGGTGGGCCCTAATCTAACCTGACTTATAAGAAGAGGAGATTAGAACACAGATCCACAGAGAAGAATGACTAAGGTGAAGGCAAAGGGAGAGATGGCTGTCTACCAGCCAAGGAGAGAGGCTTCCTAAGAAACAACCCTGCAGACACCTTGATCTTAGACTTCCAGCCTCCAGGACTATAAAACGATAAATGTATGCCATAAGTCACCTGTCTGTGATTGTTGTTATTCAGCCAAGCTGTCTGAGACAGAGCTCTTCAGAGGTTCCACACAATTTCCAAGCTCAATCAAATGCTG